TTCCAAACTGAATTACAATGTAAATTGCCACAACAGAGGCTTTAAAAACAAGACACCCTCAGTCTTATGTAGCTGCCTTGAGGAACTGCTTCGAAAATCATTCTGGTAGTAGAGTATCTCCAGTGCCAATTCCCTGGCAGACAGTCAGAGGAGAAAATACTTCAGTTTTGAAAATAAATGTAACGTATTCATAGCTTCAATGAACTGAGCTAATGTATTTTAACACTGCTGCCAAGCAAGACTACTGTATTTAAGAAAATTCATTCCAGCTCCTCCACCACATATTTAACTTAATCAATACTTTGGAAGTTGTAATTAGCTCATGTTTATAAAGCACTCTGAAGATGTAAACTGCTACGTAAGTGACAACTAATGATGAGGCTTAAGCAGCATTCATCAGCTTTGTGTGAATTCACAAACAAACCAGCAGCTCTTGAAAGTATTAGTACAGATCGTTCTTCAATATCTCATTCTACTCATTTTAAGGAGATTGCCCATGAACCTTCTGAAACATGCAATTTACATGTACAATACCAGCTTTTAAGAAATCTAGCAGTACTGCAATTCTATCATAGCTTTAATTGTTACCGTTTCTGTTGAAATTATTTCTCCTATTTACACATCAGGAACTACACCATTTAGTTAATACTGAAAATGAGTGTCAATTAATTTGAAAAAGTGGCTTCAAATGGGCACCTCTGCCTGTAGTGCTTTTTAAGTATAATTCACTATGTCATTCTTTTTATTTACAGAACAATAACTTAAAGACTTAACGTTCATTTGTACAATCTGGAGCTTGTCCCAGAAAGGATGGTACAATCTATGAGTAAAACTACTGAAGAGCATTGACAATCTAGATCTGCAAATGAGGGACTGCATTTCCTGTAATTTTCTCGAAGCTTTTATTCATTAAAATCGAATCAAGACCGCAGAAAAGGAGAGGGACAATAAGATATTGAATCAAATTAAACATTTATTCTACAGTGAAGAGTAGGAGACTTTTTCTCAAATACCACAATGCAAAAGAAGAAAGGAAACAATACTGTATAAAGACTTCCAAAACCAGCACTGAACAAAGTACTGAAAAGAAAAATACACTGAAGGGAAAGCTTTCATTGCATGGAAATGCATTAAAGTGATATAATTAACAATTAAGCTTACAAACATAACTTAATAAATTCCTAGTTTGAAGCACCTGCTGATTTAAGGAGACAAACTCATAACTTATTTTTCACTGCACAAAGATAAGTATATATTCCTGTTATACACAAACTTTCAGTTATCTGTAATTTCAAAAATCATATTTATACTTGTGATAACATTCCCATATTAGAATTTTAAAAGTCAATGAAAGGCAGCAAAAATACAGAATACAGAGAAAGATTAAGAGAATTATTAACTTCACAAACTCTGAAGCTGCAGCTTTCACTTTGTCTCCATAAACCTTAAAAAAATGTTTCTCTGAAAAAGAGGTGCTAAGTATACTAGCAATTTAAGAGCATGGTAGATTGATTCAGCCTTATTAAAAAAGGCATTTCTTAATTGGTCATTCTGAGAAAAACTATTCTTCTGTATTAAAAGTAAGCAATTGTATGGTTAGAACTGTTGTTTCATTTAATAAAATCCTTAACTTGAGAAACACATCCACCCCTTAGCTCAATGCATAAGCAATTTAACAAAACAAATTTGTTAGTATTCTATTTCAGTAGAAGAAAGCAAAGATGAAGGCTGTTATGTTTTTATTGTGCAATTAAAACATGTTCTACACAAATTTCAGTTCTACATGAGAACACTCCCATCCTGCTTCAGAAATCAAACTCTACAATTATATGGTCTTGGGAGTCTTTTGTGATCACTGCAGCAAAGGATGCAGCAAAGGAACAGGTCACTTCCAAGTAACTGTCCTTTCACTTGCAATCACTGAGGACAGGGATGAAATAGCAAAGCTCTCTGGGCAACACTTCTCAGACAACTGCAGGTACTGCAAAACAAGTAACCTCTAATTTATTGTTCATTTGTTATAATTGGTTTATATTATGAGTGTCAGTGGAAAAGAATCCATTGTACCTAAAGTTGAAGGGAAGAAATAGGCACATCTCTTCCTTGATTCTTGTTTCCTCAAGAAGTGAATCCTGGCTGTTGTGACTATACCTATGGCTGAAGTCCGGACAGTGAAAAGAGATCTGAAGAAGTCCAGGCATGGAAGATCATTTGACCAACACAACCCTCTTCCAGGACACAGTATAGTCAAAGACAAGCAGTACAGAGTTCAAATCTAAGTGATTACTTCACACTGAATACATTAGTACTTGCTATGTATCAGCAAAACTGTGGCACTAACAGCAAACCAAAATAGTCTATGGGGTTTTTTTGGTTTTTGGTTGGTTTTTTTTTTAGTGGAAGAATATGAAGCGGCTTCTTGTCACAGTTCTACTGGAATCTACTGAGCGAACTACAGACTGGAACCCAGATTAACCAGGTTGTATTTACAACTGCTGTCAATTTGCTGAGCAACTCCAGGTAATTCATATCAGTCACTGTCTCTCACTTTCCCCACTTCTACAGAAACACGATTAGTTTTCTGCACTTGTCATAGCACTTTGACATAATCTGATGGGAAGTTCTACATAAAAGAAAAAGCTTTCAGGCTTGTGGATGCAATTCAGAACTGATCTTAAAGGATACAAAACCTGCAATTCTAGGTAAAAGAGACTTAAAGGGTCCCTTTGTCTGACAGACAACCCTCTAAACAGATATCCATTTTTTGAGCTGCTGACATGCACAAACAATGTTGCCACAAGATCTGAAGTCTACAGATTGACCTAAAGGATTTTCACTCTGGAGGAATAATCAAACTGCCTGAACACAAGTACTCAGTGTTATCACTGTCTAGCACTGCTGTGCCCTCCACAGAGGCACAAGATGCAACGCTTAGGCAGCTAAGTTCTACCCTCAATTTCACTAATACTGGACATCCAACCTTCAGCCCAAGTCACCCAATTTTAAGTGTAGGAAAAGGTGTGAAGGTCCTTAAACATCTCCTGGTACCAGCTTTAACAGGAAAAAATGCAACATTTACTGACAGCCTAGGCCACACCTCTACGATGACTTCCAGAAATTCAGCCCCAAGTTTCTGTCCTTGCTCCTGCTGTTCACTCTCTTTCTGAAACTCTTCTGTCTTTATGCAGTCTGTGTATTACAGCAACAATTCCACCACTAACCTTTTTCCAACCTCCTCTGAACAGAGTATTCACATATTTTTTACAGATTTATCCTTTTGGAGTGGAGCTTACCTTAATTCCTACCCCACACAACTTTCAACAGAAGCACTTCTCTAACTGTTGCTGCACCAAGTTCCCACACAGAACCTCCTTCCTCAGCTTCAAACTCTGTTGTCTGGCCCCAGATGCTACAAGCCTTTGCCTTTTTTCTGATTGTGTTTAACATGTATACAAAGTTGATTATTTGTGACTTACGGTAATAAATTAAGAGGCACCAGTTCAGAAGATGAGGGCTTATGGCATCAGCTGCTACCGTGCTACAACCTGCTACCATTTCTTGCTACAACCGCACACTATGTAAGAAAAATTGGCCAAAGTAAAGAACACCAGAAGCTTTCTCCTTTAAAAGTTCAACATGGGCAGTGGCAAAGCAAGTCTCCCTTCTGTTTGTAAAGAACAGAACTGGGCTTAGAATGGAAAAGGTAGTCTTCTCTGCAAGCCAGTTAGGTCACCAACGTAGCTGTTGAAGTAATTAATCAGCAAATTCTAATTTCTTGTAACAGCCTTTCAGGATATGGATATACAATTATCCTACTGCAGACTTACTAGTTTGTGACAACTTAAAGACATAAAAAATAGGGTTTGATATAATTCACACTGACACCAACAGGTTTTTTTTTCCTCCACAGACTCCAACATTACCAGGAAGCTTTTCTACATTATTTTGTATACAATTAAAACTAGTCTTAAGTCATCTCTGAAAGGGACTGAACACTAATATCTTAACACAAAGTTAGATAATACAAAAATGTGTACAGGTTTTGTTATGATCAGTGTTCATTCTATACGTTTTTTTTTAGAATGCCTTGATTTAATGACCATGTAAAATAAGGACTTCAATAAGGAAAAAAAGCATGATGATGTTCAGTACACTGAACTGCACACCACTTGTAGCACTGAGAGGTACTACACAAGAGAGAATACACATAAGCTTTGCCATGAAACGGAAAGGATGAACAGTACCAACAGTGAGCAGATGCTGGGGATGTACAGAGACTTCTTGTAAAGCACTGAAATAGGACTAGCCAAAGACAGTTTTTACACACAGGAAAATAGAAGAGACTGGAGCGTAGCCTACTAAACTGCACTGAGGGAAGGAAGGTGAAAAACAGGCACTTGCAATGAGCTTCTGTTGTGAACAATACACTAAGTGACAAATGTTCACAGACAAAACACTACTTTCTAGTTTATGCAGGAAAAAAAATTAAAATCTTAATTGACAGCTTAGAAGGAAAATCCAACACGAAAAAACCCCCCAAATATCATTTTTTTAAAAACTGCCTTTTTAAGACCAAGCTATTTGGGCCACAGTGTAATCAAAAGCTCCTCACAACAAAGTGCCACTCAATCACTGCCAAATTCTGATAATCCCAAACAATGTATCACAGAGAATATGTAGCTATTAAAAAAGTATGTTGAAAGTTACTTAAACAATAGTAAGTGCTGCACACTACATGGTTCTAGTAGAGACATTCAGCTATAGTATCACTCACTGAGCTACAAGCTCAAAGTTCTGACTGACGTCTGCTGTAACTTTAATTAGTACAGCAGACAACTGATATCAAAACATATGAAATCAAACCAGTTTAAGTAAGTTCTAGCACACAGTTTTTAAAGGTGGAGAAGGAAAAAAAAAAAAGAAAAACCAAAACCCCACAACAAAGTGAGAACAAGCCCAGTGCGATTCTAACTATCAAAAATTGTAATAGTTGAACTTACTCTTTTACTGAGGCAGATAACTGGCCACATACTACAACCTAAAGTGCAGCAGCAGCAAAGGCATCCACATAGTAGCCATCGTACATTAACTGGAAGGTTCTTCTTAAGACAACTGTTAACTCTGCTGATGCTGGCTTTAAATTCTTCAGGTGCAACCTACAAAGGGAAAAAAAAAAACAAAACAACAACATACTATCACAGCAGTGGGTTTTATTACTCTTACAATGGTCTACACCTGGAACTCTTGTTTTTGTAATAAATCTTAACTTTAATTCCAAATTCCTATTCGTAGATACGCACCTTTCCAGTTAAAGATGAAGGAAATTCTGCTTCAAATTTGTTGCTTAGTCCAAACCTGCAAAAACAAAATGAAGATCACATCAAAATAATAAATAACCCCCATCCATGCCACAAGTTACAAGCATCTCGTAATACTCTCAGGGCTCACAACAGCATTAATTTCAAGAAAAATTAGTTGCTATTAAAAGTAATTCCTAAAATGATCCTAACAGAGAAAAGTACACCATTGTGCACAGTTTGAAATCCATCTTGCCTACAGTGTCTTAAAGTTTTGTTGATACTGTTGACTCTTCCCCAAACTCAGCAAAATCTTTATAAGCAACAGTGGCAAGTGTGAAAAGTGAAGAGAAGTTCTTAAGGGGAGAGGGGAAGTAAGTTAATGCCACAGTTTGAATTACCCTGCTCCTCCTCCAGTACAGACCTATCTTCAAGAAAAGCTCATCTACTGCTCTTCCACTCAGGCCACAATAAATAACTGTTCTAAGCATAAAAACTGAATCAATACCATCTTGCTTATTCAGAAAAAAAAACAAAAATACACTAATGAGTTCCAGAACACAAAATACTACCTAACAGAACATTATTTCAATGGTAACAAACTTGAAAGAAACATACCAATTATGAATTTAAAGCTATTAAGCAGTTTGAGATGAGCTGGAGTTACTGACTATTCTAGCTTTCAGAAGATCGAAAGATTAGAAGAGTTTCACCTTGTCTATAAAAAAAAGTTTCCTATCTTACAGCTGGCTGGTTGGGTTCATGAATGGATGAACCTCAAAGAAAATTTGAATATTTTCTGGCATCTGGTCTGTGCAATGACTTATAATAGGAACTCTACGTTCTAACAAAGCCAATAATAAAAATGTATGACTGGCTACTGTGCTGGGGTTGGGGAGGGGGGGGTTGGCAGTGGGGGAAGGGCCACCTTGTGAGACCAAAAAACTCCCCTGGCTCCAAGGCGGAGACCCCCCCAGCCCAGGCTGGGCCAATGAGCACCAGAGAAAAACCTCTGCAAACCCGTATTTGTGAGGGGAAGGACTGTCCTGAAAAGAAAAGGGTGAGGTGGGACTGGAGGAGAGGCCATTGACCTGAACAAA